CCCAGAGAAGCCTCGGAAGATAGGCCTGGCGATCTGTTTTTGAAATGGTACAGCCTTGAAAACCCTGTGGAGCAGTTCTACTCTGCACACATGGGGTCACCATGAGTCTGAATCTACTCAAAAGCATCTAAAAACATCAAGGGTTAAGGAGTGAGTGGGGTTTGTGGGAGTGAGTGTGGCTACATAAGGGCAACATGAGGGATCCTTGTGGTGATGGAAATGTTCTACATCTTGACTGTATCAATGTCAATATCCTGGTTGTGATATTGTGCTATAGTTTTGCAAGATATTACCATCAGGGGGAACTCGGTAAAGGATATATGGGATCTCACTGTATTATTTCTTACAACTTCATGTGACCCTGCAATTATCTCAAAATACAATTTAATTAAAAACAAAATAAAGATTATCATGAAAAGTTCAAAACTCCCCAAAATGGAATTAGCTATTTTTTAAGCACAGTAGAAGCATTTCTAAGGATGGTCTATCTTCTGCCTTACGTGAAATGCTAAAAGCAAACAAAAAATTCCTAGGTAAAGTGTAGGACACAAGATAAATTTCAAGACAGCCTGTCCAAGGGGCTTTTTATTTTCTTTGGGAATCTTGGGCATTGTTAAGAGACTGGCTGAATCCAGTAGAAACGAACTTTATTTTTAATGGGCACTTCCTTTGCCCTTCATTTTCACACTAGCGCTATTCAAGCATCACTCAGCTGCCTTTTCTTCTGTTTGATCAGGATTTGGGAGCAACAGGATAGAAGCAAAGCTATTTCCTCTCCCTTCCTTTGACAATCAGATACAGATGTTCTTGGTTGCAGCCGGCTAAGTTTTAAGCATCTACGAGTGCTATTTTCTAAGATTTGTAATGCCTACAAGCTAACACACTTCACAGCAGCGTTCAAAACACATCTGATCTCAAAATCACATTGTTTGCGGAGCTCTGTTCACTGTTTGCTGCCCTCACTCACTCTCAACCATTCTCACCTCTTCCTAGTGCTCTTCCGTGAAAACTACATCAGGATCCCTCAAATTCACAAAGACAATGAACTCCCTGGGTACCAAGAATCCTCCAAAAACTGAATGCAAAGAAGAAAAGGGAGAGTTTGAGCATACGAGCTGTCTTTTAGAGCTTCTGTCTCCTTCCTGTTAGGACCTCTGTGTGTCCTTCAGAACCTCAGTAGAAGGCAACCATTTATTCACATAGCTAACTACATGTGTGTAGATCTGCACATAACTACATGTGTACATTTGCTATAACTGCACATGTGAAGATCTGCATACAATTCGACTGTGTAAATCCCCATATAACTGCACACGTGTAGCGTTGCATATAACTGCATGTAAGTAGATATGCATATAATAGTATGTGTGTAGATCTGCATATCAGGAGCCCTGGTGGTGCAGTGTTTAAGCGCTTGGCTGCTAACTGAAAAGGTCGGTAGTTCGAACCCACCAGCCGCTCCATGGAGAAAGATGTGGCAGTCGGCTTCCATAAAAATTACAGCCTTGGAAACCCTATGGGGCAGCTCTGCTCTGTCCTATAGGGTCACTATGTGTTGGAATCGACTCGACGGCAATGGATTTCTTTGGTTTAGATCTGCGCATAACTGCACATGTGTAGATCTGCAGGCAGTGTAAGGACACAAGCATGTGGTTAGGCTTTATTCATTTTACTTCATGCATGTCCTACTAATAACCCTCATTTCCCACATCAAAACCAGCAGATAGAAACATTTCCAGCAGCATAAATGGGCTTCACTGATGCAAGTGAGCCATTAAAAACCCTGTATTTCATGATGATGGATTTCTGTTATACCATGTGGTAGTCATTAGGGTGGAAGTCACATATACACCTACCTGCAATGAAGAGAGCTCATGTAATAGCAATTACACACTAAATGCCTTTTATTTTTACATCAGTTGCAAGTGTGAGACAAGAGAACGTGCTTATTAAAGAGGCAGCTAAACAATGGCTCTATCTGATAATAGGATGTGGATTTTCTTAGAATATATGCACCTAGAAGGCATTGCAGACTTCTGAGAAGCTGTCCCATCCCAGTGTTCTCCTGTGCTTTGGAGGGGCTTGGGTTTTTTCTGCAGGTTCAGATGAGGGCATCCTAGAGGATAAAGTTTTCTCTCCACATCCTAGAATAGTCCTAACCTGTTGGTAATTCCAGCTGCATCAAGCAAATGTGCCCTGCTAAATTGGCCCAGACCAACAGATCAAGTTCAGAACACTTCTTGGCTACAGCCTGTACCATATTCTTATTCAGTTCTGTTCGACAAGCATTTACTGGGCGGGGAGTTGGGGGAATCTTCTTATGAGTAAAATGCAGGGGATCCTGCGACGTACAAGACACACTGTGTGTCTTCAGTCAGTTCATTGTTTAGTGGCGAGACAGGAAAATGACAATGCTTTGAGGGAGGGACACAGGATTCAGGGTTTAGATTCTGTGGTAGGTTCCTTAGGGCAGGGCTAAGAATTAGCGTGGATAGCCAGAAGAAGGCCGGATGTCCTGCAGAAGTCAAATAAAAAAGCCCTTAAGTAGACAAGTTAACAAAGGGTTTGGTGATCAGTGAACACATGCGAGTATGTTTGAGAGTCTTCAAGAGCTGATTTGCTATCAGGAGTCCCTATGTTTTGCTTAGCCCCATTTTTCTCCAAAAATAAGTTAATAGATGATCTCTATTAAAGAACAAAAAAAAAAAAAAGAAAAGAAAAGAAGGAAGGAGGGAAGGGTGAGAGAGAAGGAAGGGAGGGAAGGGGGAAGGAAGGAAGAAATATGAATGAAAAACCACCTCTTGGTACAAATCTGTCATTCTGCCAAGGAGACAGAAAATATGACTAAATTTAAAGAATATCTTTTATTACACTGGTATCTGCCTCATGCCAGTAAAGAAGCCTTTAATAACAAGAAGATCAAGATAAACTCAATTGCTTTTTTAAATGTCCTACTTAAAACAGCTTCAAATAGGAGAACTATGTCCTTCTTTGGCACTGGCCATCCCCTTGCTGGCCAGGCAAGGTGACCAGGACATGACTGCTCCTGGCACAGGGAGGGGAGCAGGGATGGAATGCAAATCCACCCAGCCTCGTCTTTCTGACTCAGCAGAGCTGTGTTCAAGCCCCGGAAAAAACCTGTCGCCATCAAGTTGATTCCGACTTATAGAGACCCTATAGGACAGAGTAAAACCACCCCATAGAGTTTTCAAGGAGCACCTGGTAGATTTGAACTGCCAATCTTTTGGTTAGCAGCCATGGCTGTTAACCACTACACCACAAGGGCTTCCAGTGAGTTAAAGCAGTGGAAGCTTAATTTGCCATAACAATCACTCCCAGCTTTTCTAACCACAATGATCTGAAAGAGGGATGATATTTGGTTACTAAGTAGCAAACACATTGTGGTTAGTACAAAATACTTCATCTTCATTCAAGTTTCCCGCACAGTTCCCTAAGTGGTAAATAGATGATTGTCTATTATTTAAAAGCTGACCTGAAGAAACCCAGATAGATAGCCCAAATGACTGATTTGTGCAGGATGTCAATGCCAGAAGAGACAGGATGATTCATAAAACTCAACCTGCCCTTGAGTTCTCCAACTCACAACATCATGGCATCTCTTGGAGAAGTGAGCATGACAGAAGAAACATGGAAGCCGTTCAAAGCGAACCTTGGCAAACGTTAAATTTTTAACCACACACATGTCTTTGGTCTCTAAGTTTGCAATAAGCAAGGGTAATAAATCTGTAAAGTCTTAATATATATAATTTAAGAGAAAATGTAAAAATTAGTAAAGATAATTTGATAGCTAAGAGTTATTGGGCACTTAATTCATGCCAGGAACTATGCTAAGCACTTCTGCATGTGTTATTGTCTTTAATCCTCATGACAATGTTAGGGAGCTACCACCATTGCATAATCCCAGTTTTACAGATGAGGGAACGGAACTTTACTTAGAGTGGTTAAAACTTTACTCAAGTTCATACAACATGTAAGAGGCAAAGTGGAATTCAAATCCAGACCTGTCAGTTTTTAAAGTCTGAGGTCTTATCTCCTCCACAATAATTGCTCTAATTATAAAAACCTATTGCTGTGGAGTCGATTCCAACTCATGGCAACTCCATTTGTTACTGTGGGGAGAATGGTTAATGCGCTCAGCTGTGAACCCGAAAATCCAGAGGTTTGAGTTCACCTGGAGGTGCCTTGGAAGAAAGGCCTGGTGATCTACTTCTGAAAAATCGGCCTTTGAAAGCCCTATAGAACACAGTTGTACTCTGACACACATTTGGCCTCATGAATAGGAATCGACTCGATGTCTCTAATTAGAGGTTCATTTAAACTCTGTACATTGATAAAATTTATGGACTGTTGACTATATTTGGTTTTAAGGATGCATATGCGTTACTAATTCAGGTAAAACGTAAACATTTCGTTAGCGTAAGTCTCAAGTCCAAACTAAAATTTCTCGTTCTTGTTTCAGCTGCATTGTTTTCCTTATATTTTGACAAGAGGGCTGTCATCATAGTTCAAATGTGCTTCATTTAAACAGAGTTAAAGCCGTTATTAGTAGAGAATGAACAAGTTTTCTTAACGAGCACTCTGGATGTTCTAAAAATGAACCTGAATATGTTCATATTGGTCCAGCCTATTGGGGCACATTGTACTTTTTATAGTATAGATGTATTCATTTTAACATTGTCTTACTCTGCAGAAGATTTGAGGCATCTGGGGGCTTTCTTGTATTTGAGCTTATTTTATTTTCTAATCACTAAATACACACCAGGTCCCTAGGTGGGACAGTTTGTGCTAGACTGCTAACTTAAAGGTTAGTGGTTCTAACGCACTGGGTGCTACCGTGGACCAAAAGGCGTGGCAATCTGCTCCCCTTAAAATTACAGCCGAGAAAACCTTATAAAGCACTTCTATTCTGTAACACGTGGGGTTGCCATGATAGGAATCAACTCAAAGGCAACTAACAACAACAACAAATATACACTAGAGCAGTGGTGGTTCAGTGGTAAAATCCTCGCTTTCTATGTGGGAGACCCAGGTTCGATTCCTGGTCAATGCACCACTGTGTAGCCACCACCCGTCTGTCAGTGGAGGCTTGCATGTTGCAATGATGCTGAACAGATTTCAGTGGAGCTTCCAGACTAAGATAGACTAGGAAGAAAGACCTGGTGATCTACTTCCAAAAATCAGCCAATGAAAACCCTATGGGTTACAACTGGTCCTGTTGTGTATGGGGTCACTGTGAGTCAGAGGCACACTTGAAGACAGCTATCAACAAATACACACCACTTCTCCATATAGAAATCTACCAATAACCCATCTCCAAGAGAAACATTAGAGAGGATTGTATCAGGAGAGGCTTAGACAAAGTTATAACGTTTGTTCGTGGTACTGTCCCTTCGCCCTTGTGATAGAGTCAGCTGGTTCACCAACACCTGTTCTCTTGTTCCCCAGAGCATGGCTAAACCACATATTCCAGACTCCCCTCCCTGCAAGGTGAGGCTGTGGAGAATGAAATATAGGTGGAAGTAAGTACACCACTTTTAGTCCTAGATATAAAGTAGGCACTAATTCCACACTCTTTCTCGCTTGTCCATGTGGGTGGAAGTAAAAGACCCCGAGGCTCTAGAAGACAAGGGGAGTCTCAGAATGGAAGGAGCTCCAATCTCTGAGCCACTTCTTGGAGGAGAAATGGGTGCCTAGGAAATCTCCAACCTGGAACACCAGTAGGGGATTTTGTGGGAGTGAAAAATAATCCTTCATTCTGTTAGTAAAACCAAATACAGCCTAGCGTATCCAGTCCTGATGAGTGCTGACACTTGTTATGTAGGGTGAGGGGGTATCTGTGTTAGAGAAATGATTGTGGGAGTTATCAGCTTTTAGAAGATATTCAAAGCCATGAGCTGGACGAAGCCACCCAGGAAGTGAGTAGGGAGAAGAGATCCCAGGACTGAGCCCTCAGCTTCACCACTGGTTTAGGGGTAGAAATATGAGAAGAATCCAGAACAAAAGTCTGAGAAGATGTGACTGGTTTGGCAGCAAAGAGGATGGTGTCCTGGAGGCAAAATGAAGACAGTGTTTCCAGAATATTTTAGTATTTTCATAATTGATAGAGCAATCAGCTGTGGCAAATGCTTTGAAGAGTTTGAATATGATGAGCATTGATTAGTGTCCCTTGGATGTGAAGGTCACGGGTGACTTGACAAGAATAGTTTCATTGGTGTGGTTGGAACAAAAGCCTGACTGGAATAGGCTGAAGACAGAACGCGAGAATAAGTAGAGATAAATATTTTGGGGACACTTTCTGTAACAGGGAGCAGAAAAACAGGGCTGTAGCTGAGGGAATACGCAGGGTCTGGGGAAAGTGTTTTTGTTTCTCATTTTTAAGATGGGAAATATTGCAGGATGTTTATAAGTTGGTGGGAATGATTCAGTAGAAAGGAAATAATTGATTATGCAAATGAGAGTTTTGTAGGAGTAAGGTCCTTGAATAAGGACCAGGGAATGGGATCCAGTGTACAAGTGCTTTAGAAAGCAGCATAGACATTATTCCATGCTAAAAAGAAAGAGGCAGAAAACTAGGGTTCGGACTCATAAGGTTGGTGGATTCGGTAATGAGGACATGAGGCAGTTCTCTTCTAATTGCTTTTATTTTCACAGGTAGAGGACAATAACAAGGTCATCAGCAGCGGAAAGAGGGAGAGGGGTTGTTGAAGGAATGAGGAGAAAGGGGCCAGAGTGGGTGGGAAGGGACTTGCCCAGGGAAATGTAGGAGGGCAGCCAGTATCCCATGCTTTCTAACTTCTTTCTTCTCATTTTCAAAACTTACCAGTTCTTGGGAGTATCCAGTGATAAAACATTTCTGGAAATCAGTTTGGCTAAATATTTTCCTAAGCCTTAACATGTTCATACTCTTTAACTCTGCATTTTTACTCTTAGGGACGTAAACTAAGGGAATAATCAGAATTACACATTGCATACATGTGTGTGGGAGCCCTGGTGACACAGTGGTTAAGCACTTGGCTGGTAACCGAAAGGCTGGGAGCCAAAAGACTGGTAGTTTGAACCCACCAGCCGCTCTGTGGGAGAAAGATGTGGTAGACTGGTTCTGTAAAGATTACAGCCTTGGAAATCCTATGGGGCAGTTCTACTGTGTCTATAGGGTCGCTGTGAGTTGGAATTGACTCAAAAGCAACAGGTTCGGTCTTTTTGGTTTAGAGCCCTGGTGGCACAGAGGTTAAGTGTTTGACTGCTAATCAAAAGTTCAGCAGTTCAAACCCACCAGCTGCTCTGAGGGAGAAAGATGTGGCAGTCCGCCTCCGTAAAGATTTACAGCCTTGGAAACCCTATGGGACAGTTCTACTCTGTCCTACGAGGTCTCTATGACTTGGAATCCACTCGACAGCAGTGGGTTTGCTTTTCGTGAGTATGGCCCCAAGGAGATTTAAAAAAAAAGATTCTAATTCATTACAAATGTCTAAAACATTATAAGAGCACAGGCCTCTAATGGTGCCTTTTAAAATTAATGTTTTGAAAAATAACCACTGAGGTCTGGCCTCATTATGCCCTGCTGCTCTTCCTTGGTTTTCCTTTTCAGGGAAAGGGCAACGTCTTAGTTTTTTAGTGCCACTATAACAGAAATACCAAAAGAGGGTGGCTTTAATGAACAGAAATGTATTTTTACACAGTTCAGAAGACTACAAGTCTGAATTCTGGGAGCTGGTTGGGGGAAAATCCTTGTCTCTTTTGGTCTCTCTTCCTGGTCTTCTTGATCTCCACATGGCATCAGTCTTCCCTCATTTGTGTTTACTTCCATCTGTGCCTCATCTGCTCTTTTATATCTCAAAAGTGATTGGCTTAAGATATGCACTACACGGGGAGGTGTAAATGGTTAAGCACTAGCTGAAAAGTTGGCAGTTTGAACCCACCCAGGAGTGCCTTGGAAGACAGGCCTGGTGATCGACTTCCAAAAGGTCACAGTCTTAAAAGCCTTACGGAGCAGCTGTACTGTGCACACATGGGGTGCCCATGAGTCGGAATCAACTGGATGACAACTAACAGCAACAACACCACCACTGATGTGGCCTCATTAACGTAACAAAGAAAACCCTATTCCCAAATGAGAGTACATCTACAAGAATAGGGTTTAGGATTTACAACACCGTCCTGGGGACACATTTCAATCCGTAATAGGCACTCAGCCATACTTCACATGTCCTCTCCTTCCCCTCCAGCCAGCTTTCTTATGGACATGTTTTCCATTCCTGCTCACTCAGTCTCAAGCCATGTTCATTCTTGTTAATGTCTTATGTGTTTCCCGTCCTTATCAAGTTTTGGGTGTGGCCCTCAGCATTCTTTGTCTGACTTTTGACACCAGTTTCTTGCTGGTGTTTCAGCCCTGGGCTCCCCTATACTTCCTAAGTACTCTTCCTAAAACTTAGGTCTGGTGATGATTAAAACTCCCCTTGAGGTTTAAATCCATGGGCCTTTAGAGGAGATGTTGTTGTTGTTAGCTGCTGATGAGTCAGCCCCCGACTCTTGGCAACCCCATCCACAATGGAACAAAATGCTGCCTGGTCCAGCACCAGTTGGGGATCGGGCTGTTGTGACCCACTGGGTTTTCACTGGCTTATTTTAGGAAGTAGATCACCAGGCCTTTCTTCCTAGTCTGGAAGCTCTGCTGAAACCTGTTTAGTATCCTGGCAACACGCAAGCGTTCACTGACAGACAGGTGGTGGCTGTGAGTGAGGTGCATTGGCCAGGAATGGAACACAGGTATCCTGCAGCAAAGGTGATAATTCTACCACTGAACTACCACTGCTCCCTTTGGGGGAGAGAAAGTCCTTGATTCGACTACTGTTTACCATTCTAGCTTTATCTCCTGCAACCACAGCCCTGTCCCCTAAGTTCCTACCAAAGTTCTCCCAATTCAGCCGTGCCCTTTCCCATCACGTTGTCTGGGAAGATGCTGCTCCCTCTGCCTAGATACTCCTCCTACTCCACTCCACTCCAAACGCTACTTGCCCTTAGAATCCAGTCCAGGTGACACATCCTCCCAGCTGCTGATGATGACTCCGAAGCCCCAGATATGCTCCTGGTATATCTGCTCCACGGTTCTGTGTGAGCATCTCCATCAGAGGATTTATCACATAGAATTATAATCATCTATTTCTCTGTTATCTAAAACTGCAAGCTCCTTGGGGTCATGAGCAGGATTTCATTATATTATTTACATAACAGGTGTTCAACAAAGCTATGTTGTGTTTGTTGAATGAACAGGGATTTCACGGGTTCCAAGGCATTTACCATTCTATGCTAGGTGAGTCTAGTCCAGGGATTCAGTCTTAATGCTAACACAAGTCATTTGAAAGAGACCTTGCATTTTCAACTCATTCCAATCATTTAATACATTTTTTAGTTGTTTTTCACCATGCTAGGGGATAATTTTCTTAAGACATATTTAAGTACTGTATTTGAAAACAAAACCTACAAGGTACACTGAAAGATCTGGATTGACCAAGCCAGAGAGCAGAAAGCACAGAGGTAACTGAATACTTGTCTTTGAGTTCAGACAGCATTTTCATCAAAGGATACTGGTTCTTCTGCATTCCACTAAAAAGGATATCTTGGCAACAGAACTTGACACCCATTAAAAAACCAGTTAAAACTGGTTGCTGTCAAGTCGATTCCGAGTCATAGCAACTCTGTGGTGCAGTGGTTAAGAGCTATGGCTGCTACCCAAAAGGTTGGCAGTTCAAATCCACCAGCCACTCCTTAGAAACCCTATAGGACAGTTCTACGCTGTCCTATAGGGTTGCTATGAGTTGGAAAATGACACCTATTAGATACTCAATAATTACTTAAGTGAATAAATGAATTAACCATGTATGAAGAATATTCTGGTATGAATGGTTTAAATTTACCAGTTCTTCATTCAACACATTTTTATTGAGGGCATCCTCCCGCCAGGTACTTCTGCAGGTCCTGAGGATACGTCTGAAGAACAAAACACATAAAAGTCCTTGCCTTCAAGGAGTTTACATTCTAGTTGAGGGAGAA